GCAAACTTTACAATGTGACAGCCTGGATGGGTAGCTGCACAATCATACGTGAGCAGAGTAAATAGGAGAGGGCTCAACACACATCCCTGAGGAGAGCCAGTGCTGAGGGTTATGGTGGAGGAGGAGAAGTTGTGGATCCTCACTAACTGTGGTCTGTTTGTTAAGAAGTCTAGTACCCAGTTGTGAATGGAGGGGCTTAGTCCTAGTGTGAATAGTTTGTCCATCAGGGTTTGGGGGATCATGGTGTTGAAGACAGATGTGAAGTCCACAAAGAGCAGACGGACGTAAGAGTCCTTTTGCTCCAGGTGGTTGAAAAATCACATATCAAAGCATCCATCCATCCATTTTCTTTACCCGCTTATTCCATTTTTGGGTCACGGGGGTCGCTGGTGCCCATGTCCAGCAATCACTGTGCGAGGGGCGGGGTACACCCTGGACGGGTCGCAAGTCCATCACAGGGCCACACAGAGACAAACGAGACAAACAACCATTCACTCTCTCACTCACACCTAGGGACAATTTAGAGTTACCAATCAGCCTAACATGCATGTTTTTTGGTCTGTGGGAGGAAACCGGAGTACCCGGAGAAAACCCACGCATGCACGGAGAGAACATGCAAACTCCACCCAGAAAGGCCCCTGGACCGGGGTTTGAACCAGGGACCTGCTCGCTGAGAGGCAGCAGCTCTACCAGTTGCGCCACCGTGCTGCCCCATATCAAAGCAATGCATCTAAATCAAAGATTATGGGAAAATCTAAATAATTTTTCTTGGCTTCAAGGTTGGCTAGCTTTCATGAGACATCTTCACTAAATAAAAATATGCTCAGTGTTTTTTAGCGACAAAAATATTTTACTTTGAAAATATCATATTGGGGGCCAGATAAGCTGTTAGGAAGGGCCATATTTGGCCCCCGGGCCCTGAGCTTGACGCATGGGCCTTAGGGTGAATAATACCGAAATAAGTTATTTCTTACAACATAAATTAAAGAGAGTGGCACGGTGGTGCAGTTGGTAGAGCAACCAGTTAATCAATTTCACATTCAACAATTATTTTCTGAGCTTTATTAAAATCCATCCAGTAGTACTTGATGTTTTGCTAACAAACAAGATTGTTTTAAAGTTAACGCTAAAGTTTTTAGTAGGGATGTGTAATGTGTAGCACTCTTCACATGTGTTGAGGATTATTCTCAGCTACTACCACACCAACTTTTACTTCTATCTGTGTGACTAAGTCAGGCTGTTTTTGTGTTGTGGCAGCCATCTTGGATGGGGATGACTCCGTAAGTTGATCAAATAATTATATTCTGACAGTTTCATTTAATTATGTGCAGCAGTTCGTGATATTTTGCTAACAGATTGACAAGCAAACACGGTTCAACATCCAACATAAATTCTTGTGTTAAAATAAACACACACATATGTAGTTGTATGACAGAGTACGTGCGTTACAAAATGCTCCAAATCTGTTTTACGTCAAAACAACTGAAATATGAAAAATATATCACAAACGAGACTATTTACTGTTTTTACTGAATTTGTTCAAAGGAAAATAGAGAATTGTGGTCTGTTTGTTCTCCACAGTGACGGTTATTTTGTCCCGCTCCGTGCACCTTCTCTAAATTACTCTCATGTGTCAGAAAGTCTTTTTCCATTTCAGCTGCTCCTGAGTTTTGTAAGCCTGAAGCAAATGATGCAAAGCAGAGCGGCGCTGCATTTTCCTCGTGCTCGCTGTGATGTATTCAGTCTCTTCTGCCAACACGGTCTCTCCTGGAACTTCACAGCAGCAATGTAACGTTTCAATCTCTCTCCTAGATTTCATTTTATTGCAACTATTTTTCGTGGAAGCTTCTGAAAGACAAAAGGTGGAACGTAATGCTTTTGTCTGTGTGCGTTTGTTAGCAAAACATCTCATGAACCACTCCACAGATTTTAATGAAACTTTCAAGAAATGGTCTTCGGGGACACTGTTATGAGTGATTAACTTCTGGAGCCAATCCATTTGAAGACGTCCACCGCAGCTGACTAATATTAGAAAACATCAAATCTGTTATAAATCACCCATTTAGAGATATTGTGCAACAATTTTGAGGTTGTAACTGAGAATTATTCTTGTGCAAAAAATTTTAGCATTAACTATCAGAGTCAACTCTGTCTGTTAGCAAAATATCTCACGAACCACTGCACAGATTTTAATGAAATTTTTAGAAAATAGTCAATGGATACACCTCTACAACTGATGGCGTTTTGAAGTCCATCCAATGCAAGATGGCTACTGCAGTTAATTAACCTTAGCCATCACATAAATGGCTGTAACTCAATTAACTTTACAGATGAGCTCATATTTGATGCCCTGCTATACCACATAAGATTGCACAAAGTTTTTTTCTAAGGTTTGACCAAAATGGCAACAACTCATCAATGCTATTTCTCAAAATAAGATCACAGTCTAAAACCTTGGCAAGAAATGTGATATTCATTCCTGCAAGACATGCAAGGTCTAACTAATCACTTTTTTCCCACTGGGGTCTGAATGGGTCTTTGATTTAACCATTGCACTTTGAGGATGCAAAAAAAAAAAAAGAAGACACAAGAGCAGAAACTGAGCCTTACTGCAGATGAAGAAGTAAGAGGCTGTGGCGGTAAGGAAGACCGGGCTTCTGGCCAGGGAGCTTACCAGTCCACAGATCCCACCAAAGAGCAGCAGGACCAGGCTGAGGGGAAGCAGAACCACTATGGCTCCGTGCATGTCTGAGGTGGAAACGCATGGAGCATCAGTGCACTCCTGTCTAATTTAACACACTGAGGATAATAATCAAGAACGAACAGAGCTGGAACATGAGACTCACTGAGCATGCGCAGCTCGGAATCCGAGTATGTGGAGGAATCGGCAGCAAAGGAATCGATGGAGTCCGCGTGCGTCTTCCCTCCTGGACGCAATAAAACGGACAGAAGCGGCAAAGTTTCCCTCAGAACAACACACATTTAGAGAAGACAACTTGAAATAACTGTTCCTATTGTAAAACTGAACCAGGAGGAGGTAAAAGCCTGTACCTTCGTTGATGCTCCACAGCCCCGAGTGGGAGCTCATGTCCTCAAAGTCGCTCATGTTCTTGGTCTCTATGATGAACCAGTAATCGGTTCCGAGGGAGGTCGCCAAGGAGGCGAAGCTCAGCAGACCGCAGATCCCCGCTGTGATCACCACAGCTCCAAATGTTACCTTCATGACGCACAGCTGGAGGCTCCACTCGTGCGTAACGCACAAACCCCAGAACGGCGACCCAGTCTCGATTGTTTCTTCCACAGTTTAGTGGAGCTGCAGTTCCAAAGATTTTAGGGAGAGATGAGGGAAGTTATCACACAGCTGCGCAGAGAGGAGTGTGCCTGAGCTGCAGCAGCTTCTGTCAGGGAGGCTGTTGGATTCCAGTCAGGAGGCGCCTTTACGCACGGCACAGTTACTACACGTGCGCAAAGTGCCGCCTCGAGGGCAAGAAGCGGCCCTTGAGCCGCCTCAGTCCGACCCTTCATGTGCTCATGCAAAAATGAAACTACTTCAACTAAATGTAAGAAAACCAAGGTTTTTTCATGCATTTTGAGAAGTGTTGGCACAAGGCAGCAAGGCTACCAGGAATGACTGAACACCATAGGTCCCAGGAAGTTGAAACCAACTTCTGTCTCCTCCACGTAAACAAACTGGGCATTAATGTTTGTAGATTCTCATATCTTGATGCTGTATGTTCAATGATTCATTAAAAAAAAAAACATTTTATCTGTGATTAGTTGTTTTATACTTTAAGGCAGATTCTTGTGACAATTGTATCGGGGGAGCCTTAAAAATCCCTTATCTCTAATTCTTAGCCTATAATTTAGGGCTTTAACCATAAGGGGACAAATTCGATAACACATTTGAATGTGTTCATCATTTTTCATTCAAACACACATTAAAACATTTTTAAGATAATAAAGACATACATTAAGTAAAGCAATTAAAGACACCTGCTTACACATATCTACAGTCCCAGACATTGTGTGTGGATTTTATTGGTCCAGAGGTGATTCATGGTCTGGGTGTAAATGAAAGCTGAGTCTAGCCATTAAACCACAGTGCTGGCATAGGTTTAACTTGTAACTTAAAGGTTTTTAAAAGAATGTCTATGGACATTCTTTTACAAAGCTGATGTTTTGGTAATTTTTTTCTTGGTACTCCCCCAGTGGGAGAAATACTGTGAAGAGTTGTTGCTAAATCTGAAGAATCGTTGAAGTAATATTAAAAATAATGCTGTTTATGTTCTACTTAAAACTCTAGCCCCTTGTAGCCTAGATAACAGTAAATGGAAATGCAATTTTCAAATAATGATTTCATTTATTAAGAGAAAAACACTAACCAAAGCAACCAGGCCCTATGTACGAAAGAAACTGTCACCCTTATTAAACTGTGATTCTTTTTTTTTCTTAAAGCCGAGTTGAATTTCACTATTACTTTCTGCCAAATCTGTAGAATTAGAAAATCATGTAAATAAAGCCAGGATTCACAAAGTTAGAAAACATGGAACAGTGCATGGTGAATCTTCCCAGGAGTGACCAGCCAAACTACTGCACAAGTTCATGAAGAGCTCATCCAGGAGGTCCCAGAATCCAGACTGTGTGTGTGTGTAGACTGTGTGTGTGTGTGTGTGTGTCCTGTTACAAAGGACACACACCGGCTTCTATGTGTAAAACTAACACTGCGTTTCAGAAAAAGAACATCTTACTGGCAGACAAACATGGCAGCGATGGTGATGGAGACACAATGCTGTTTCAAGACATGGATGACTTCTCTCAAAATTCTGAAGGAGAATATCCACCCATCATTTTGTGACCTTATGACCTCAAGGGCACGTTGAGTCTACAGCAGGACGATCTGAAGAACAGAGCAGAATTCCTCCAGTGGTGTGATTGATCATGTGATTGGAGGTTAATTATGTTTTCACACAGGTTGGTTTGGATAGTTTAATCTACTAATGAATAGTATCATTGTTTAAAAGTGCCTTTTCTATTTACTCGGGCTGTTTGGTTGAAAAAAATTAAAGCAAATACAGAAAAAAAATCTGTAAGGGAGTAAATATTGTGCAGGAACTTTTCATCCAGACACCAGCTCTGATTTTTATTAAGTTGCAGTTTTAAGAACATCCATCCGTCTTCTACCACTTATCGGGTTGCGGAGGCAACAGGTCCAGGAGCGAAACCTCTTCCCAGATACTTCCCAGCTTGTTCTGGGGGACGTTGAGGTGTTTCCAGGTCAGAGAAGAATCGCCACCCTCCCAGCAACTTCTGAATCTTTCCCAGGGCCTCCTGTTAGTGGGATGTGACCAGAAAACCTCTAAAGGGAGGCGACCAGGAGGCATCCTAATCAGATGCCTAAACACTTGAACTGACTCCTGTCGATGCAGAGAAGCTATCTGATCACCCCCTCTCTAAGGCGGAACCTGGCCATACGAAGGAAGTCCGTTTCAGCCACTTGTATCCAGGATCTCCTTCTTTCGGTCATGATCCAAACCTCGTGACCACAGGTGAGAGTTGAGACCAGTAAATTGAGAGCTTTGCCTTTTGACTCAGCTCTTTCTTCAACATGCCTGATCAATGAGGCCCAGTCTGTTGATCAATCTCCCACTTCATCCTACCATCACCTGTGAACAAGACACCCAGGTACTTTGAGCTACTGCACCTGAGGCATTCCACCCTTTTCCAGTTGAGCACCATGAACACACTGGGAGGAACCGACTCTCATTCCAGATAATTCGTAGTCGAGTTGCAGAGGCAACAGGTCCAGGAGCAAAACCTCGTCTACGAACCACCCCCGTGCACGCTGAAGGTCTTGGCCTAAAGTTGCTATCAGAACCACATCATCTGCATAAACTGGAGATAAGACCCTAAACAACCATTCACACTCACACCTAGGTATAATTTAGTCACTAATGAACCAAACGTGCATGTTTTTGGTCTCTGGTAGAAAACCCAAAGGTATTTACATATATTTTTACTCCATGTCATCATCCAGATATTGAAAATATTACAAACCAAATACTTAATAGTACATATCGTTCTAGTATGGTTAGTAACCTAAGGCTGGAGAAAACTGGATTTGGAAACAGCACTTTATTGAAACAAGATAAATACAAGAAGATTGAATATCTCAAATTTTACACTGTTGTAGTAAACAAACAAGACCAAACAGTAAAAATGAGGAAATCTACTTTATAAAAACAAATATTAATCCAGCTATTCATTACCAAGCAGTTTTGCCGTTTGTGAAATCCAAACTCATTTCAAATGACTTGTAGCTTTATATAATAAACTACAGAAAACAAAATATCCACAAGAAAATTCAAAAGGAATGAATAAACAAAAAGCAATAAAAATATTTACAGCCAAACAAACACAAATGAAATGGCAACTATCTGAGGTGGTTTTCCCCGTCACTCCTCTCCCATGGCCGTCTTGACGATATTTGCTCCTTTCAGTTTGGCTGCCTCCTCAAACTTGGCGATGGCCTCATTTCCAGTCTTTTTCTGTCAGGAAAGAAAAAAAAAGATCAATATTATCAACGTTGTTGTTCTTGCAAGACTATTTTGGAGACAATGATGTATGCTGTTGTATATATATAAAAAAAGATAATTAAACATCTGTTTAAAATGTTAGCGTTCTTAAAAATTACTTGAATACTTTACTTCCTAAATTAGGAAGATGTAGAAAAAAATAAATAAAAAAATAGCAAGTTATGGTTGTGAAAGAACATACAAGCATTAATTTGTGCTTCTCCTTCTGTAAAGTTAATAATTCTTCCACAGTCAGCTCTTCTACTTTTTTCTTCAGGGCGATGAAGTGACAGGATGATGAATGAGACTTGTGCTCTTTCCTAAAAAAATATAAAAAAAATACAACAATTAAAACAATCCACTTATTTACAGGGACTTTTATTAGTTAAAACAAGAAGCGCTAAGATAAGCAAATGTAAAAATATATATTTAAAATTTACTATTCTAAATAAAATCTAAACTAAAGATATACACATAAAATTAAAAGGTATGAAAGTTACATGAACTTTTGATCATAGCTGCACAATTTGATGGACAGTAGCGCTTCTTGTAAACAAACAGACATGCGTATAAAACAATCAAATATTTTAGGCCTGGTGGTCAACTTGCTCCTCTCAGAAACAGCCAGAGGACAAATGAGACCAAAGTGGTCCAGAAAAAGGTTCGGAAGCTCAATCATCCAGGTAGATAAGACCTAAAACATTTGATTGTCATGCGTGATGACTGATTTGGACGGATGGTCCCTTTTTGCACGTGTAAATCCAGTTTCTGGGACTTCAACAGGAGCCTGGCTTGAAACACATCTACGAGGTGCTATTTATAAGACAGATCTGGGTTGGCAGGCCTCAGGTGAAATATTTTGGATGAAAGATGAAACGTTTCTCCCAAAAAGAAACTTGTCCAGATGACAAGGTTGAACCTTTTTTTTGTATTTATAACTGAATAAGATGAATTTAAACTTGTGAGATAATGATGATAATAAAAAGTGTCCATGTTTTGATCCTGTTGCAGTTGTAAAAATAATAATGGTTAGTTAAATGCTGATCTTACAGCGGGTCATCATCTGGCTCCCAGCCCTCCAGCTCTTTGAGGCAGAAGAAACACATGGCAGTGTCCGGACTGTTTTCTGAAGGGATGTGAATGAAGCCAGCTTTGGCCATCTAGAAGAAAAAAAGGGGTAAACAGCAAATAAAATGAATATAAACTTATTTAGGCAAGCGAGCGATGCTAAAATAATCTGTATACAGAGATTCTTAAATTACATGACTTGAGGCAAATGAAGTGTTACATGTTTTATGAAATTTTATAGCACTTTAAACCCAACAGAGTCACTTAAGCAGATTAAATTATACTTAAAGGTACTACATAAAACAATGAAACTCTATAAAGTTTGATAAACAAAACCTACTCTACTTGTTTGATTTAGTCAAGAAAAAAATGTTTAGGTTTCAGGTTGTCAGACAAAATTACATTTTTGAGCATTTTATAACAAATAAAAACATTTGTCAGATTAGATGCTCTAGACTTTTTAAGTGCACACACACACATAGATAGATATAAAACCACCATCTCTTGTATTGTCTTAACATAAGCGCTTTTCCTAATTCTACGACCAGATGCAACACGTTTTTTTCCACATACTATAGAAATAAAATATAATTCATAAATGCATTAAATGAAACAAAATAAGCATTTGTTTTTGATTTATTTTAACATTTTAGCCATCAGTAAAGGTTCATGCACTTCATGCAGGGCGGCTGTGGCTGAGTGGTTAGAGCAGTCGTCCTCCAATGCAAGAGTTGGGGGTTCAATTCCACCAGCAGTGGACCATGCCAAAGTGTCCCTGCACAAGACCCATAACCCCTCCTTGCCTCCGATGTGTGTCCCATCGGTGTATGAATGTGGTAAAGCTCTGATTAGCTCCAACAGATTCTGATCACCTCTGTAGAAATCTAGTAGAGTGCTGTGTGAACGGGTAAATGAGTATATATTGTATAAGTGTATTGATAAGCTAGAAAGGTGTTATATAAGTGCAGTCCATTTACTTTACTTGAGGGACTGTCCATACATACAGCCTGACTGTAAATAAGTTCAAGTCAATTTTATTGTCATTTCCATCACATGTGGTATATGAGGTGGAACGAAATTATGTACTAATAACTTAAGCTATGAAATATAATCGCAACACTTTTATTTTTACAATCAACTTTGTTGGAAGAATTTACCAAAACTATTTAATCTCCAACTAAAGCAAGACTTGCTGTATTTTCAAAACTACTACAGTAGTTGTTTAAACTTGTTGACTCCATTACTATTAAAAACTTCACTCACGTTCTCTGGGGTGCACGTGCAGTCTTCGTTGAAAGGCCAGCCTTCAAACGTTTTCAGTCTGTTCTCGTAAAAATACATTTTTAAATACACTTCTTCGAAAGGGTTCATCGTCTTAAACGTCAAAAATAAACGCTTTTCCGCACACCCAAAGACGCGACACCGTAAAAAATACCGAACAAATATGGACGCTTTCAAATTTGGGCGGATGTTCACCTCGGCTGTTTTGATTGGTGGATAAAGATCACGAGGTCTTCCCGTCTTCTTCTTCGTGGGATGATGTTTGTCAAACAAGCGCGAGACGCAGGCAAACTCTCACACAAATGGCGCAAAATTATTCCAAACTATTAATAATAGTTGTTTAACTATAGTCAAATGGATAAATACACATTTATTCAATTCACTACCGTCAAGTTTCAGTAAAACAGAATCATGTTAGCTAAATTTACATCCGGCGTCAGTTATCATGGGTAATGTAGTTCTTCGCTGTTATTGGTCAAAACTCGTGGCGCGGAACTTGTGCCTTCTTGTTCCTACCTCTGTTAACTTTAACATTTGAATTGTGTTGCCAATGTTGGATCTTCGCGGTAAGCGGGTTGTTTTCTGTCTTTAGGTTTGTGCTAATGGAAGGACGGTGTTCTGTCGAGACTTGGGCTGAATTTGGGCTTTTAGGAAAACCAGGCACGAAGAAGGTGACGTCTGGTTTTGAGACGAATATTTTCATCTGCACGGGCTGCGACGAGGTCTATGTCTTCAGTGCTACTGATAGAAAACTCACGGTAACTATAGTTTGCATTTAATGTTAATGCAGTGGAAAACATTGCTGATGGTTTGTTTTGCAGGCTGTCCTTCACTTCCCTGGTCCTGTGAATGATTTGGTTGAGAGCCACGACAAGCAGCTCCTGTTTGTAGCATGTAGGTGTGGAGTTTATTGTGTGGACTTACAGCTGCTGTTACACAGGTATTCAAGCAGCACTCATCCACAGCAGCTTCCTGTTTGTTTGTCATAATTAATAAATAACCCTTTCACCTCTGCAGGGTTCAAGGCTCCTCGGGTGATGCCTCCTCCAGTCCAGCTGAGCTGAACATCTCCTCTGAGTTTGTTGCTGTAGATGCAGGCGGAGTGTCCTCTTTGCTCCTTGTTGGCTCCGTGCTCCTGACCCTTTGTCAGACCGACACATCTTGGCTGATGACTTTGTATAAAAGACCCCAACAAACACAGCCCACCACCTATGAGGTGCTCGGTTTGTTCCACCTGCCACTCGTTTCACCTGCTGTACACGGCGGTGCAAAGGTAAAGGCAGGACAAACGGGGAGGACTGTGCTACTCTGTGCCCATTTTGGCATTAGGCCTCCGCTTTCTACCTCCCCTGATGCAACAGATGTGAGCTATTCCCACGTCTGCCTGGAGCCTGTTCTCTTCAAACTTTTGTTCGGGGTTGAAGCGGCACTTGCCAAATCCCCAGTTGTTCTTTGCGGCCTGCCAGATGGGCGCTTGTGCTTCCTTCCTCTGGGTTTGCCAGGATCACGGCTCCGAGTTCTCTATAGCCTCGAGCAGCCGGTCGTATTTGCCGGAGCATCTGTTGTCACGGAAACAGATCCAGGACACGCACAGTGCTTGGTGGTGGTGGGCGAACAAGGCAGAGTGGCGCTGATCAAGGCTGACAAAGCCGGGCCAGAAAGAGAGGGAAGCTTTGCTCGTTTCACCGAGGGGTGTGTGTCCGGACCTGTGGAGTGTGGCTTTGTGGGTAAAAACTGTCTTTACTACAGCACTGGCTCAGACCTCCTCGCGCTGAAGCTGTCAGACGAGTCAGCTGGGAGAGAGGACAGAGAAAGGGATGTCGAGGCCCTCCAAAGCCCGACCAGTTTGAACGTGTGCGGAGTCATTGCTTTGAGTGAGCCGACGTTCAGCGCTGCAGGTGAGCAGACGAGTGGCATGCTGACCAAAGCCCCCTAACCGCTTTTAGGTGCATCCGAGTCTGCAGCTGGGAAAACGACACAAACTTTTGCTGCTTTGTTCATTAAAAGGTGTTTAGCTTAAGCTATTTTAGATTTTTAAAGGCCTAACATTATTTGAAGGGATGCGTCTCACCGGCTGCCGTTCATGTCAGAGTTTGAACTAAAGGAGTAATAATGGGGTTGTAGCAGTTTTGGTCAAACCTTTAAAAATATCACAAGCTCTCTCAGTTTATGTGATGTGAACGACGCTCAGCTACTTGCACAACAAATTCTACTTGACATGTTTAAAACTGGCCGAGTCATCGCTATTTATGTGTTTGATTCCATGATTTGGATTAATTTTAAGTTGTTCAGTTGTCGTTGCTCGTCCATTGATTGCTTTCAGCACGTTTTATTCAAGTCCATCCAGCGGTTCATAAAATATTTTGCTAACAGAAACAGTTGACATTAAAACCATCATGACATTTTTTTTTTAAACAAACTTGTGCAGTTTATTCAAGCCCAGTGGATCAGTCTCCTTAATGCCAAACTCTAGCTCAATATCTAAAATTAGCTGAGTTTTAGCTATTGTGTTTTCTAAAGGCTGCTGGCTGTGGCGTCCATCTTGAATCGAGTCCAAAAGTTTATCAGTTCTAGATGTACGTCCATTAATAAAATCTGCAAGTTTCATTTAAATCTTTCCAGCGTTTTGATAACAAAAACCTTTTTATGTCCGCATTTTGCTTTTCAGCGACTGTAGATAATTCGAAGACGATCTGTGACAAACTTCAAGTAGCGAAGTCAAATGTGATTAGTGAGCAAAAAAAGCAAGTCGTGACGGTCAGATGAAACTTGCTGAAACACCGAAAAATGTTTCATTAGAGGCTTTCACTGTGCAGCAGTGCCTCCTGATCAAAAAGGTAAACGTCAAGAAAGACTCAAACATTCAGTGTTAAACATTCACAAAGCGTTTTTCTCTCGTTCACGTCTGAGTGAGTTTAGTTTATGTGTTTACAGAAATGCATCTGAACAAATCACATGTTCAGATTTTGGCTGAACACGATTTTTATTAAGAAACGCTTATTCAACACTGTTCGCCATCAAGTTGATTTACCGTATTTTTCGCCCTATAAGTCACGTTTGTTTTTTTTGTGCATAATTTACAAGCCCTGCAACTTATAGGCTGAAGCGACGTATTTATGGATTTTCCCCATATTTATAAACCATTTTTTGCTGAGATATGACCGTTTCCATTCATTCTGACAGAAAATATTGAACACTACCATTTTCAGCCACTAGATGACACTCGAGTAGTATGGCATGCCGTTGTATCATGTAATAGGTAAAAGTGGTTATTAATCAGTTTGCCACCGTCGTCTGCTTAGAGCAACCTTCAAATCAGCTTCATTTTGTTGCGCCGCCGAGGCGAAATGAAGCTGATTTAACCATTGAAGTGCGTTTATTAAGTAAAAGCTCAACTGAGACACACCTTTACTATAAAGTCAAGCTAACAATAATTGTTTTTAAGTGTTTATCTAGTTAAATTTCGAAGAAATGCACAACGAGTCGCCCTCTGCGCCGTCATGTTTCCGCGTATCTGCTTTTGAAAATACACCTGATTTGACCGTCCGAGTGCTTTTATTAAGGAAAAGTTAGACTGAGACGCACCTTTGCTATAATTTCGAGCAAACAAATAATTGTTTTTAAGTGTTAATCTTGTTAAATTATTGTTACAGTCCTCTCGTGCACGCTCCCGTGGCCGCCATTTGACAGCCATTCGATTTTGGGCACAACACCGGCCCACATTTGTCAGCAGCGGCGCGTAACAAACAGATGCAACTTATACGACAAAGCGACGTATTTATGGATTTGTCCACTTTATTAGACCTGTTTGGACTGATGCGGTGCAACGTTTACGGCGGAAAATACGGTAATAGTAAAAAGGAATTTAGTTTGCGGCACAATTGAGCAAGAATCCATGATGAAAACTAGTGTAACAAAGGGATTGAACCGTATTGGTTCAAGCTACCAAATAAAGTTAAATCATTGCCAGATTAGTAAATATTTTTACTTTTCTTAATCCACTTCCATCTCGAACAACCTTCAGAAATCAGCTGTGGTTTTGTTTGTATAGAACCTCAAACATAACCTTAAATGTAACAACTGCATAAAGAGATTTTTTTCTGGTTCTGTGGAACTAAAGATTTAAAAATATGTTTTATTCTTAAAAATTAAAAAATATATTATTAAACCATATATCTATAATAAAAACCCTCGGACCACATTGTCTGATGAACCAGCTTTAGTCTGTTATTAATTTGTTAAATTTGTAACTCGATGTTCTATCTCTAAGACGCTCCTCGAGCAAAGTGGCAGCTTTGTTTTACTAGAGATATTGTATTTCCTGTGAAAATACAGTGTGAATGTTTATTGCACAAGAACCTGCTGAGAAACAGCTGAAATTAGCTAACAAACATTCTGAAATGTAGCTGAAGTGGACGAACAAGCCTTAATTAGCAGAAGCTGAAAGAACACATATTTGCTGAATTGGGTTTAAATTGGCAGAAATGAGCACAAAAATAACGACATTAGCTAAAAAAAAAAAAGGCTGAAAAGTAGCTGAAAGGCAGAAAGAAACTTAAACTACCAGAAGGAAGTGGAAAGAGCTGAAATGAGCTAAAAAATGTGGAATTAGCATAAAACAGCTAAATAGTAGCTGAAATAACTGAAACTAGCATAACAAAATGAAATTGGTAGAAATGAGTTAATTAGGCTGAAAGTAGCAAAAATTATCACAAAAAATTGAATAGACTTGAAACAGCTGAAATTAGCATAAAATGTAGCCAAAAAGGCAGAACAAGCTTAGATAGCAGAAGAAAGCAGAAAGAACATAAATTAGCTTAAATTACAAGAAGGAAGTGGAGAGAGCACAATTTTGCAGAATTAGGCTGAACAAAGTTTAAATGAGAGCAAAAAATGTGGAATGAGCTGAAAAAGCTCAAATTTGCATAAAATAGTAGCTGAAATAAAAGACTAGCAGGAAGAAGCTGAAAGAAGCACAAAAATGTTTGTAGTTAAAAAGAATCAGAAAGGAGCACAAAACGGCTGAAAGTAGCTGAAAAAAGTTTAAAATTGCACAAGGAAGCTGAAAGAAGCTGAACAGAGCAAAATGTGAAAGGAGCAGTAAAAGGTTGAAAACAGATCTAAAGATTTAAAGGATGAAAAATGAGCTCAATTCATTTATGAGGAAAAAAGTGGCAGAAAAAGGCTAAATATTTCAAAAAGCTAAAGCTGCACCAATACCAAAAGTCTCAGCAGGATTGTCCTGAACGAGCTGAACGTTTATTATTTGATTTGTTGAAACAGCTTAAAAACTGCGGGACGAGAGTCGCACCGAAAAACACACGTAAGAAAAACGGATGACGATAGTGAGGATGTTTCAGAAGCGTTCACACGATAATCTTATGTGTTGTCCTTTTCATATCTGACTCTGAAACTGTCCACCTGAGGTGTCCTCTTTGGTGCTAGGTGAAGTTCAGCTGCTCGGGCTGACGGTCAGAGGGCAGCTTCAGAGCATTAGATCACCGGTGAGGAGACGGGATGAAGGATTCTCTCAGCCTCCCTCCTCACAGGCCGGTCGCAGCGTCAGGGACCTCCTGTCTGCCATCGGCGATGTTTGTGAGAGGTAACCCGAAGTTTAGAGAAAACTCCTAAAATGACATCATTTGTTCATTTAAACATGTCAAACTTAACCGTTTCTCCGTATTTTCCTGTTCTTTTAGAGCATCGGCGCTAAAAGCAGCCATCAAATCCAAAAACCAAACTCTGAGGCAGCTGAGTCGGGCGGTAAACATCAGTTTCCTGCTGACGGGAAGGACGACGACGACTGAAGAACCTTTTCCGGTTAACGGGACGCCCATCAGATGTCACGCCGCAACAAGCTGGAGCAGATCTCTTCAGAAAGACGCCTTTAGTCTTAAGTGTGTCCTGAACAACTCAAGTCCTCATGTCCTGGAGCGAGGCTGGGCGCTGAGCGTCGCCGTCTTTCCTGCGTCCTGCTCCTCCAGCGCAGGACAGGAAACCTCCACTAGTTTTGTATTCCCGTTCTACAACCTGTGTCCCGGGGAAACGTTAGAAGTGTCTCTTCCGGTGGCGGCTGCAGGCGACACGACTTTCCCTCTGACTGTGAACTGCTCACTCATCCTTTCGCTGTCGAGTTTCCTGGGAGAGGAGGAGGAAGTTCTCCGCCCTGGTTTGCAGAATAGCTGCTTCAGCTTGGCCTTAAACACACTGACAGTGGACTGGTTGCACGCCTCACAAGTCATCAGTCCCACAGCCCCCCAGCCCAACAACGCGGCAGACGCCCTTCAAGCTTTTCTACGCTCGAGACTGATCAGGTGTTCCAAAGGAGGGGGAGCCTCGAAGCCCGAGAAGTATTCAGCGAGCGTGCGGGTGTCTTCAGAGTTACTGAGGGACACGCTGACGCTGAAAAGCTTTGGTCTGGACACGGAGGTGGCCTCTCAGAGTCTCTGCTCCGCTCTTCTCCGCTGGCTGCTGTTTGAAGATCACGAAGGAGTGAAGATGGGACACGGAGGAGACGAGGTCGACACGAGCGGCTCGGTGATCCAAGTCCGTGCGCCGAACGAAGCCGCCGTCAAACTGAGCGCTAAAGAGGTGAAGCAGTGGTTTAAATTTAGGCTGGAGAACGTGCGTCGTGAGCGCTGAAGGGAAACTGCGTTGTTGAAGCTAAAACGAATGAAACGGATGGGAATCTAAAAGCAGCAGAACGTTAGCTGAAAACAGCGGCTAGGAAACTTTAAAAGAGCAGAACACTTTCTAAAGGTAGCAAAACAAACGGTATAGCTACATGCAACTTAAAAATGAGTAAAACAGTAGCTAAAAGCTACCAAACAGTGGTTTGAAGCAACACAACAGTAGCTAAAAGCTAAATAATGGCTAAAACGGCTCAAATATAAGTGAAATTATAACAGATGCCGAGATGGTGTAGAGGTGGGGTAGCCGACCTGGGACCAGAAGGTCACAGGTTCAACTCCCCGCCATGCCCACATGCCGTGGTGTCCCTGAGCAGGACACCCAATCCCCAACTGCTCCCTGAGCAGCTAACATAGCCACCCGCTGCTCCACCTGTGTGTATCTCAGGTGTGTTGAGTTAAATGTGGAGAACGAACTTCATCATTGTGTAGAAACATACGATGATGACAACAGCACTTTCTTTCTTTCTAAAGATAACTCGAGCAAAGTAGTGACTAAAGGTAGTAAAAAGATGCTACGGCTAAAATGAGTAAAACGTTAGCTAAAATTGGCAAAGCATGCTAAAATCTGTAAAACTAGCTAAAAGTGAAAGTAACAGAATGTTAGATCAAAGCTAAAAGTGGCAAAAGGAGAAAAATAAAGCAAATGTGTTGAAGCTTGAAGATTGCTTTGATTTCTATGGAGATTTTATTCTAAATAAAGTTTAATACTTTGAAAAGTCTAAAATGTGTATATATATATATATACATAAAGAAATAGTCCAGAATGAGCTGAAGGTTTGAATGTATGAACATGCAGATGTAGTTGGATTGTGAAACAAACGGAGAAGAAACAAGCAGGAAAGTGTGGATGCTGACTCAGCGCTCCTGCTTGTTTGATTTTATACCAGCTGAGCGTTTCTCTTTTGGTCTCCAGATGAAAGTAGAGGAGGAGGAGGAGGGCCTGGTCTGTGTGGAGGTTCAGATCGAGAGCTCATCAGTCGCCCCGGTGTGCGGCCTGCATCACGCTGTGCTGCGACGGATTCAGGTACACACACACTCGCAGGACGTTTTCCGACGAGCGTGAGTGAAATCTCCCCGTCATTTGTAAACGTTTCATCAAGGAAAATGCAGCTTGTTTCAGTGCTGCCTACAAATACTCCCCTGAAAAGTTTTCTCAGTGGGAAACAGAAAGTATGTCAAGTACAACTATTTAAATGTAGCTGCAGATCTTGATTGATGTGTTTCTAGTTGAGAGACAGGACCTTTGAATAATGTTAAAAATAACCTCCTCTGTGGTTCAGCTGAGACTCTTGCATTGGCCTTATGTTAATATATAGAACATTTTACTGGACGGATTATTATTATTATTATTATTATTTTTTTACACTACCGTACTTGCTGCCATATAAGTCGCATCTGTTATGTGTCACCGTGTGTGTTATGTGCATTTCGCCTGTGCGGTGAAATGCAGCTGATTTGACGTTTGCTCCAGGAGTTCCGTAGCGAGACGAAGGTGGCTTGGTACGGCAAGCCAAGTGTCCCACTTTTACCTGTTAATGAGACACTTGGCTTGCCATATGAGTCGAGGACCCTCTAGGTACTGTTCAATATTTTCCACGTCAGAATGAATGAAATCGCCAGATCTCAGCCAAAAATCGGTTTATAAATATGGAAAAAAATCACAAGTATGTTGCTTCGCCGTGTAAGTCGCAAAAGTTTATGCAAATAGGTCAGCGAAAAATACGGTACTTCTATTTCCTAACAAGTGTGGTGGACTTGCAGCCTGCAGCTGATGGTTTGTTTGTATTTGCACTTAAACATCACTTTAACTTGACATTTTGATTGTCCTAATTGACCTCATTAGGTTTATGGACCACGTTGCATCCTTCGTTTGATAAAAGTCTTCTCGCTTTTGTTTGTAAAAACTGTTCTCGTTATTTTCCCACACAGACTTTGTTGAAGAAGGCCTCTGAGAAAGCTGCTTCCACGGAAGCGGTGCAGAGGTTAGGACTGAGGCGAGCGCTGCAGCAGGCTGAGGTGAGATGCGTTTACAGGACTCGGTTCCCAGCGTGCTCGCCGTTCGTCGCCCGCTGACGTGAAGTGCGGGCGTCCGTATTTGTGCATTCATCTGCAAAATCTCACTGTTGGTGAACCTCTCAGGAAGTACTCGCTGGATACGCAAGACCTCAGAGCTGGCGTGTCCAGATCTCTAATAAATTTCTTTCTCTTTCCTTCTCTCACATCAACAGATCCAGCAAAGTCAAATCTCAGAAGCCTTGAGCGTGGGCATGTCCTCGAGCCAAATGAAGCGATTCCTTCTCGATGTTTACCAAGCACTCAGAGAAAATCCTCTCCTCGTAATTTAACACCTACACAGCTGGCCCTCGGCCTCGTGCGCTGCTCTGTAACCCTGACTTTACCTCTGCGTGAACAAAATAATGCGCATTCGTGCGACGTAATCTCTACAGTAAACATGCGTTTATAGCGCACGGTAAACACCTGCTGGGAGTTTATACTTCATAAAGAGGCACGACTCAAGTTGCTGTTATCACCCCGTTTATAATAATCACATCTTTGTTTTGTGTCCTGCTTCCATTCACACGTGTTCTCCGAGTCGCAGGCTCTGCACAGACGCGTCCCTGATTTGTCCTATCCAAATGGCAAACGTGATGTTTTGAATGAAGAGTTGAAGAAGTGCTGCAGGAACAAACACGTTTGGCAGCAGAAACCAGTACAGCCAGCAAACTGCTGACTGGTCTGGTTCCAAATAGTCCCAATCAGCTACTGGGATTGATGGGATGCGAGCTACATTAGTGGCTCACAGTAAGGGCGCGGTAGAGCGGTTGGTAGAGCTGCCGCCTCAGCAAGAAGAAGGTCGCCGGATTGAATCTCGACCAGTGGGGGGTGGAGTTTGCATGTTCTCTCCGTGCATGCGTGCACGGTTTAAACACTTTAACTCCACTTTCCTCCCACAGACCAAAAACATGCATGTTAGGCTGATTGGTAACTCTAAATTGTCTCTAGCTGTGAGTGAGAGAGTGAATGGTTGTTTGTCTCTGTGTCCCTGTGATGGACTGGACACCTGTCCAGGTTGTCCCTCACACAGTGATTGCTGGACATGATTACCAGTGACCCAAAAAGGAAGAAGCAGGGAAAGATAATGGATGGATAGTAGCTCTCAGTCTGCAAGAAATAACTAGCTGTGTGCTGTCTCCATTGTGTTTTACTGCTGATTGAACTTTTTCGGGGTGGGGGGGTCATTTTTATACAAATGTTGTTGTTGTTTTTTTTTCTGTTCATCACTTTAAACCCTTGTGAAAATAAATCACTAAAAATCTGTGGGTTCTGCTTCTACTGGACTGAACATCTAACATCACTGATGCATCAAACTGCGGCACAAACACGGTGCTCTGCAAAAAAAAAAACACTACTTTCAAGGAGCCAGACTTTTTTTGTTCTTTAACCTGGTCCTAATTAGTTCATTTTGCATTCACAAGTTTTTTGTTTTAGTTTTTTCTTTGGACTTTGGCTGCTTTTTCCTCAAATTTTTATTCATTTGGCATACAGAATCCATTCTGCATGCCAATGTTGCTTATAACTTGAAGGGAACTGATGCCAAAATACAGTTTATGAAAGCCTGATGACCTACGTTTGGCTCCTTGGAAGCAAGATGTAAAGAAATAAGCGAACCACAATAATGCACTTTGCATGTTTGTTTTTTTTTGTCTCAATTAAATGTCTCTCGCTCAAAAATGCTAAAAACCTAATCTTGTATTTATTTATTTCACCTCTAAATTAACCTCCGTGTTACTTTCACACATTATAATTCTGCTTGTTTCCTTCAAAACAGTAGAAACCAATCATTTTCTTTTTTAGTGCTTCCAATAATTCTCATAATCATAGCAACAATTTCATACTGATAAAAAATAACCATACATTTCATATATATTTTAAAATATAACAATTAAAATCAATGTTTTTGTATATCAGCTGTGTTTTAGTCATTTTTGCAGTCTCTACATGAAACCATGTCGTTACTGGTAATAATCACCAGCTCTACCCTGCACAACTTCTCAGAGATGTTTTAACCCGTAATGATTGCCGTACCTGTTTCAAACGTCAGCCTGGATCACTTGTACAGATTTAATTAGGGACACGAGCCGTTACAAGTCAGTCTTCCTACCTGAGGAGGTGGTAAAACAGTGAAAACCAAAGTAGGAACACAAAAATAACTTCAGCTTTGAGATGAACTCAAAACACTTTCATTAAGATTAGTCTTGGTTGAACATCCTGCGCAGTTTAGTCCTCGTCCTTCAGCTCTGTGAACATCTGACTTGATTCAAGATGTTAGATTACTGATTAGTGCTAAAGCTCTCAGCCTCCATTATTATTTTTTAGAAGGAGTTTGGTCTTGAGATTTGATCTAATACTCCCAAAGGGCCGAGCTGCTCAGGCCGAGTCCATCTCCTTTGAGAGTGCCTCCTTGGTCTCCACGCAGGTATTTGCCGTTTTTGCCACGGATGGTGAGGCGTCCACGCTCCAGGAGCTCCAGAGTGAAATCCTCCGGGGCCTCACCATCCGAACACACCAGCCCGGCACTGTTCACGTACCAGAACCGCCCGTCGATGCCTGCACAGGAGAAAAAGTCATACTAACAAAAGGAGATGGTAGAGGCCCAATGAAGATGTTTGGCATTCAGTTGTGTCATACAATCAACACTTTTGCATTGTCAATGGTATTCTACACTGCCAGGCCAAAAAAAAAAAAAGTCACCACCTGGATTTAACTAAGCAAATAGGTACGAGCCTCCTACTGGATAATTACTGCATAGGTGATTATCTTCAACAAGTTATTTAACCCCAACTGGTGCAATGAGTTGCTTCTCATTTCTTAAACAACCATGTTGAAAGACACATCGTGTGGTCGTGGAAAAGATGTCAGTCTGTTTGAGAAGGGTCAAATCATTGGCATCAAGCAGAGAAAACATTTAAGGAGATTGTAGAAACTATTAAAATTGGGTTAAGAACTGTCAAACACATTATTAAAAACTGGAAGGATAGTGGGGACCCATCGTCTTTGAGGAAGAAATGTGTCCGGGAAAAAATCCTGAATGATTGTGATCGGCGATCACTTAAACGTTTGGTGAAATCACATCTAAGAAAAACAACAGTAGCACTCAGGGCTACGTTTAATAGTGAAAGTAAGAGTATTTCCACACACACACACACACACACTGTGAAGGCAACTCAAGGGATTGTGTCTGAACAGTTGTGTAGCCTTAAGAAAACCACTAACCAGTGAGGCTAACTGGAAAAAAAAAGCTTCAATTTGCTAGAGAGCATAAAGATTGGACTGTGGAGCAATGGAAGAAGGTCATGTGATCTGATGAGTCCAGATTTACTCTGTTCTAGAGTGATGGGAGCATCAAGGTAAGAAGAGAGGCAGGTGAAGTGATGCAGCCATCATGACTATGTGCCTCGTCATCAGTGCAAAATCTTGGTGAAAAATTAATGCAACACTGGACGGAAATAGATCTTGTGACATTGAAGAAGTTTATTGAAACAATGTCACAGAGAATGCTGCTGTAATCAAAGGCGGTCCAACGAAATATTAGTGTGTGACCTTTTTTTGTGGCGACTTTTTTTTTTTTGTCAGGCAGTGTAATTCAAAATATCTTTAAAAAAAAACCTTTTTTTTTTTAAACTAGTAAATGTTTAAGGGGATGTTTTAGGTTTCAAGTTCAAGTTGTGTTTATTTGTCATATACAAGGTTAACACAAGGTTAACAGTACAATGAAATGCTTAACATGAGAAGAACCTATTTGACTCGCTAAAAAAAAATAAAATCAAACAAACTAACAAGACAATACAAAAAAAGCATGCAATAATGGTACACAAAAAAAAAAGTACCAAAAAGTGACAAAGTAATTAATTAAAATATTTACAATGTCAAATCAAAACAGTTTGTAACTGAGAAAGGTGCCTGGATAGAAAGTGAATGTCTTCAACTGCGTAACAGAAGTCCATTTCTTTAGTTTTTTTTAAATTTTATTTTATGATCCAGTCCAGAAAAAAAAAAAGAATATAGTCGTAGATATCTACAAATGAAGCTCACTCAGTACACACAAATTAGAAATGTGACGTCATTTGTTGAAGGAAGAAGACAGTTGCAATATAATAAATGTTATTTATGCATGAAATGCTCATTTTAACTATGAAGAATCACCGTAAATATTAACTTTTATTTTGAAAGTTCTGCTTATGTGATGAACTGGCTTGCCACATTAGACTCCCAGTTTGACTGGGCACATTCTGACCTTTAATATTGTAAGCCCCGTTGCTGAACTGCAGGGTGAAGATGTCGTAGACGGATCTGCTGGCGTCCAGCGTGTTGGAGTTCTTGTGGTGGCAGATGAATCCATTGTCCCCTCTCAGGATCAGCATGGGCCTGTTGATTAGTTTTAAAGTGAGCTGCTCGTCCTCACCTGGGAGCAGGACATAGACAGGCAGGGAGGGTCAGCGCTTGTGTCTGATAATAAGAGACACGTGAGCTAAGAGAAATAAGGAGGACACTCTGTTACCTATGGAGTCACTGACTGCAAGTAACTGACCATTCTTCTTGATGCAGATGTATTTGCCATTGCTGGCCTTTAGCGCCACCTTGTGGCTCAACCACTCCACTGAAAACATGGTGTTGGCTGATCTGAAGGAGGAAAGAGGCAGCATGATGCATTAGTGGTTAGCACTGTTGGCTCACAGCAAGAATGTCCAGGGTTCAATCCCTGGTTTGGACCTGGGGGGCAGTGGGGAGTTTGCACGTTCTTGTGTTTGTGTGGAGTTTCTCCCACAGTCCAAAAACATGCAGGTTCGATCTGTGATCTCCATGCGCTCAATAAATAAAAAGAGGGAGCTTTTTATTGGATGTATTCCAATCAATATACTGAATGCACAAATAAAGGAATATGATTATGATAAATGATTAATTTACACAAGGGATCTACAATTTTCTACTTTAGGCCACTTAATTTATTAAAACACCACATTATATATCAGGCTTTCAACTAAAACTTAAATTTAATCATGTAGCTTAATGCTTGGGAGGAAAAATATGTTTTTGTATAATTCCTGTAGCCAGTGGAGCACAATAAAAGTGGTAGTTCTTCATTTTTGCAGAATGTAAACTCAAACGCATGTTGGTGGCATTAAGGCTCAGTCCGTCCGCCGGACACAGCAGCGTTCACTCACACTTCTGAGGCCGTGCTCTGGATGCCTCCATGCGCCACCAGAGCCCAGTAGTTCCCTTGGCTGGTGCGAAACGTGCACTTCTTGGTCTCCTTGTCAATCTCCATTTGAAATGTCTCCATGTCGGTCTCCTCTTCCTGATTGGCAGCGAGGCTTACGCCTGATGGAGCAAATTAAACACACTCCGTCATTTCTCTCATACAGCTGTTGACATTTTTATGATTTGATCTTTAGGGACACACACACTGATTTATACTCAGAAATATGTTTAAAAAGTCAAGAAATTACAAAAAATGCTGAGGTGTCTTTAGAAGGAACGGAAGACGAGGCTGGTAATTTAATTTTCCAGTTTTTAAGAAAACCCTCAGTAACCCTCTCGTAAGAGATTTGTTTTAGAGTATTTTAAATCAAATGTCAAAATAGATCAAATAAGCTGCATTATGCTTCCTCAGTTATTTGTTTCTTCAGACTATTATGAGTTTTTGTGGATGTAAACCGTTGCACAATACCCTGATTTCAAACTGTTTTCATGCTCATCCTGAACCGTTTCGTTTGTGGGCTTTTGTTTTATTGACTCTTTTTTAAATATGGGCGATACGGTACTTATCAGATGGATTATATTAGCAGCATTCAGTTAATTATTTAAATACTTTGATTTATCGAGGAAAGAGTTTAGGAAAAAGCAAAATGGGCAGTTGGCAAAAAAAACATACAAACACAATTATTAATCTTTTGGACAAAGTTCTAGTCGTTTTGATTGAACTTTAAAAGTAATATTACGTACAACATTACATGATGTCAAATTAATAATATATGTAAAACTGACTGAGTTGTATCCATTTTAGTCTTGACTAAGGTCAATTATTATAGCAGCTATCTTAAAATTGTATTAATACCAAATGTGACTTATTATATTCTGGAGGTTTTGTTGAAATCCATGCAGTGGTTCAGGAGATATTTTGCTAACAGTCAAACTGGGTTGACTTCAACATTTCATTCTAATGTTTTAATCAAAGATGTGGTGCAATGAGTAGTGCTTAGAGTGTGTGATGGGACTGACTCAGTTACCACCACACCTAATTTTAGCTCAATAACTGCATCTTTGCTAAGCTTCATTTCGTCCACAATGTCTGATTTGCCTAATTTTCTTGAAAAAGTCAAATCAAACAAATAAGCAACAAAAGGTTTGCTTTTTTTGGCCGGTCTGCTTGCAAGGGAAAAGTTCTTGCAAAGACAAGTAAAATAATCCATCGGATCTGTTTCTGTGAGATGTTGCTGCTGGTTTTAGCGTTTTCATGTCAGTGAACGTGTTCATCAAAATCAAGTTCTGGTTAAAACTTATCAGAATCAAGAAAACAAGAAGTAAATTCAGGAAATCTGCCTTATTCATGTGTAGTCACTATCGCCAGCACTTGAAGACAAATCCCACCTTCGATTGACAGACACTTGATAGAAAAGTCTTGGAGAGCAATTATCTTTGCTGAGGCACTGAACAGAAAAACACACGTGAGAAAGAAACGTGAACACTGACACACCCCATCATGCTTGGGTGGTGTGACATCCTGCTAAAGATATAAAAAGCTCTCTTTATTAACCCATAACCCAGTTTTTTTTTTTTTGTTTTTTTTTACGAGTTTGAGTCCAGTCAAGTTTAGAAGAAAAAACATTTAACAAAAAACAAAACAAACAACAACAAAAAAAAACAGGAAATAGCCAGAGGATTTTATGCCACACTTTGTTAAAACCTTAATATAAGGGCGCTGGATTGACATGATCTGGTGGTTTAATGTTGAACCTACGTGCAGCAGACACAGGAAACTCCAAAGGTAAAATAAAGATATCTATTTATTTAAACCAAAACGGCTGACGGGGCAGCAGCAAAACACCTGAATGGCTGAAGGAGACAACAGAGGAACAGAACATGACAGGCTTTCAAGCACAATCCACGAACCTCAAACCACATAGACAGACGCTAAATATACAGTATAAGGAGGTTGACAAGACAAAATGACGAACACTTGGGGTGATTAGGATTGAGGACAGGTGAGACAGGAGCTGACAACAAGGAAGAGAAAAAACACTGGGGAGTACAGGAAACACAAGGAAAAGAGAACAAAATACAGATTCCCACATGGATGATCAAATGGGGAATGAAACTAGATCAACTCTAAATTGTACCTGATTTTTGGACACTATGCTGGTTCTGAACAGGAAATGTAAATGTTGAGAAAAACAATCTGATCCTTTCAGTCTATGTTTATTGGGTTAAAGGCAATAGTAAATTAAGAAATTAATATTGCTTTGAAATAATACATCTATATTCCTGTGTTCTACTAATCATCTGAAGCAGACTTGCTAAGGTAGCAGTTCCATCTTAAAAAAGTTTACTTTAAGTTTAGGTTTATTGTCATATGCAGATCAAGGTCAACAATGCAATGAAATGTTCAGGACGAGAAGAACCATCGCAACTCACCAAAATACCAAAGCATGAAACTAAAATATAAAAAAAAGGCGCCAAAAGTGAAAAAGTGAAATGTGAAATACATCTACAGAAGCATGGTCCTATTAGCAGAGTATTTCTGTTAGCAGCACGGTCCCATTAGCAGCTTGATGATAATAATGACCACAGTAACGGACAATCGTTAGCGGCAGGTTAGCAGTGTGGTTCTGTTAGCAGTGTGGTTTTGTTAGCAGCATGGTACTGTTAGCAGCATGGTACTGTTAGCAGTGTGGTTCTGTTAGCAGTGTGGTTTTGTTAGCAGCATGGTACTGTTAGCAGCGTGGTTCTGTTAGCAGTGTGGTTCTGTTAGCAGCGTGGTTCTGTTAGCAGTGTGGTTCTGTTAGCAGCGCGGTATTGTTAGCAGTGTGGTTCTGTTAGCAGCATGATACTGTTAGCAGTGTGGTTCTGTTAGCAGCATGATACTGTTAGCAGCGTGGTTCTGTTAGCAGTGTGGTTCTGTTAGCACCGTGGTCTTGTTAGCAGCACGGTCCCATTAGCAGCATGATGATAATAACGACCACAGTAACGGACGATCATTAGCGGCAGATTAGCAGTGTGGTTCTGTTAGCAGCATGGTACTGTTAGCAGCGCGGTACTGTTAGCAGTGTGGTTCTGTTAGCAGTGTGGTTCTGTTAGCAGCACGGTACTGTTAGCAGTGTGGTTCTGTTAGCAGCATGGTACTGTTAGCAGGCACAGTACTGTTAGCAGTGTGGTTCTGTTAGCAGCGCGGTACTGTTAGCAGTGTGGTTCTGTTAGCAGTGTGGTTCTGTTAGCAGCGTGGTTCTGTTAGCAGCCCGGTACTGTTAGCAGTGTGGTTCTGTTAGTAGCGCGGTACTGTTAGCAGTGTGGTTCTGTTAGCAGCACGGTACTGTTAGCAGTGTGGTT